ATAATAATAATAATAATAATAATAATAATAATAATAATAATAATAATAATAATAATAATAATAATAATAATAATAATAATGTGCTGTCAAGTCAATTCTTGCTTATGGTTATCCTTTTCAGGGTTGTCGCTTGTTCAAGGCCACACAGGCTGGCTGTACTTATAGGAGGCACAGTGGGGAATCAAACTCGCAGTCACCAGATACCTAACCCACTGTGCTATCCAGCCAGCATAGTAAGTGTTGAGGAACTTTAAAAATAATAGGAAAAAATATAACACAATAATCCTTTAACCCAGTGGATCTTAACCTTGGGTTACTCAGGTGTTTTTGGACTGTAACTCCCAGAAGCCTTCACCACCAGCTGTGCTGGCTGGGGTTTCTGGGAGTTGCAGTTGAAAAACACCTGAGTAACCCAAGGTTAAGAACCACTGCTTTAACCTAATACTAATTTTTTGTCACCAGGGAAGGTTTTGTATGATATTGCTGTATTACACCTTGCTTTCATGTCAGTCAATGCAGGCAAGCTTCAAAGAAGACAAACGTACATGGGTTGTCTGTCAAATATATACAAATTGCAAACAGGGATTAGGTGTTGATCATCCGCTTGGGAGATCTGCCTTGGTGTGCCAGCCAGGCCTCAGTTTGGCATATTAGTGTCTTTAGGTTTAGGGTTTTTTGGGGGGAAATCTGTAAAATGGGCCCATAAGGACCTACCTTTCAGACAGGAATTGTGGAAAATGAAGGAGGAATTTCTAGCGACTTACATGTCTTCTACAATGCCATTCAACCTAAGCAATACCACCAGTGAAGTTTGCTGCCACCACACCCTTACAATGCAGTCCTGTGCACATTCATTTAAAAGTACATCTCATTGCTGCTCCCTGGGTTTGCTTTCAAAGGTAAGCATGCTAAGGGTTGCAGCTGTAAATTGAAAGTTTGTGTTTCAAGCTGTTGTACATGTCTAGTTTAGTACTATATGCCCAGAAAGAAGAAAATAATCCAGTGTTTCTGACAATCCTGGATCTGAGCAAATGCCAACTCTAGGTAGATCGTGAGTGCCAAATTTGGACTAACCATCCAGAAATTTATCTGCTTTTTTTTTAACAGCACACCTCCACTATAGATAATAGTGTGAGGTTGGCTGGCCAGTGGAAAGCCATTTGTTGTGTTCTTATGTTTTATGTACTCTTCTGCTCAGCCGTTGTCTCCATCGTTGCCCACCTTTTCTCCTTTTAGCTCTAAGTGCCACCAGACTTGGCTTTCCTCTTCCTGATTTTAGCCTCAGGTTTGAGGCAGAGTAAATGGGCCAAAGTCACCCAGAAAGCTTCATGGCTCTGGATCTCCCAAGAGCCCATCTAATGTCCCACTGGCACATTGTTATTGTTGTTTTTAAATAACAATGATAGTAAAGTGACTGAGCTTGTTCAAAAAACACTTCAGACATACAGCTCAGTAACCTGTAGAGGAAGGGACACCTTGGATATGGATGATGATCCATGTACTGCGGACCGAAGGCTGAGCTTGGCTCAGTAGATGTGTGTGTGTGTGTGTTGGGGGGAAGATCCCTTTGACTCACAGGTACTTTTGACTTGGGCACTAGGCTAGTTCAACTGTGCTTGGATCTAGGAGAGATCCACTTGGTACATTGGACCATTGGATATCAGTCCCAGATATGCCCTAGTTGCAGACTGGAAATGTGGAGATTAAACGTGTCTATGGGATGTTGGGACCAGGAATAGAAGCAGGCTGCACCGGCCACAATAGTGGTGGTTATGCTAAGATGGGCAGTGCTAGATAAAAGCAGATAGATAAAAGCAGAATAGGCTGCTCACCAGAAACTCAGCTGGATATGATTTTCCCAGGTGAGTCATACATTAAACCGACTACCCAAGTTGCAGGCAGGGTACAGTACAACAGCACCAAGGCACACTTCGTTGGGAACTGACTGTTAAACAAAACAAGAACATACTGCCACTGTACGTGTGGGTACAACTCGCTTCTTAGCTTTAACTGGACTTTCCCATTGAATGAGACCTAATGCTCATCATCGCCTGGGGACAATGGGAGTTGTACTGCAACCCAGCTGGAAGCCACCAGCTTGGCGAAAGTGGCTGGCAGAGTGCTCGGGTGGTTTGTGATGGTGGTGGGAATCACTCGAAATGATATGGAAAACACTCTGCACACATCCTGGGAAAGAAAACAGGCTCAAGAGGTTGGCTCGACTGAATGCAGAACTTTCAGCGGGGTAAACTGAAATAATGGTGCTCATACTAATAGAGCGTAAACATTGCAACGCAGAATCAGAGCTGAATCCTTATTTTAAGGATGAAGTGTGTGTGTGGGGGGAGGAGGCCTTTAAGAGCCCGGATCATGCGGGGTGTGAAATTTCCACAGTCTGGGCGAGGAAGGGCCGGTGTCGGTGCCCCTCGGGAAAACAGGCAATGCCCTCTTCCCGTCGGTCAGCTCCCGCAGCAAGAAACCCGCATGGTGAGAATCGGCTAGTTTGGCTAGCAGAAGGGAAGAACCACGTCGGGAAGTCTGTTTGGAAATGGGCGATTCTGGCGAAGTTTTGGCATAGCTGCACGTCCGGGAGGGGGGAGGGCGGGCGGTAGCAGAAGGGTCAGGGGAGCGATCTGTTCCCTTTTCTCAGAGTTGTCTGGCTGGCTCCTTTGAAAAAGAGATTCTCCCCGGATCCTCGCCCGGCCACCCCCTGCTTCCCGCCTCGGTCCTTCTGTCCGGTCTGCCGCAGGGAGATGGCAATCGCGGTGCGCTCGGAATGCGCCGCTTGGCACTCACTCAGCCCCCTCGCCCCCCCCTCTCCCGCGCTCTTCTCTCTCTCTCTGTCTCTCTCTGTCTTTCGCCGTCCCCTCCCCGCGCTCCGCTTTGCCTGTCAAGGGGAAGCAGTCTCGTCCGTCCGTCCCTCCTCCCTCCTGGGCTCTCCTCCTCCGCCCGGGACGGGGCTCGGGAGCAGCCAGAGCCGTTCGCCTACCCCAGCGCAGCCCAGCCCGGGGCGTCCGAAGCCGCCTTGCCCGTCGTGTTCTCTGGGCTGCGCCTCCGAGGGCGCCCGGCACGGCACGGCGCGACGCGCTGGAGAGGGCAGCGCCGCCGGAACGGCCGTCGATCTTCCAGCCCCCGCTCGCTGCTGGTGGCCCCCCAGGATGTTGCCCCCTTCGCGGACCCAGCTGGGGCTTTTCTTCGTCTTGCTCTGCCCGGCCAACATCATCGGGCTGTGGTGGTGAGTAGGAGGCATCGAGGGAGACCGTGCCCCGAGGGGGAGTCCCGCGAAGGGGCGGAAAATGCAAGGCCCGTAGGAAGGTTGCCTGCGCTCTCGCCTACCTTCCCTCACGCTGGGCGACAGGGAAGAGGGCGAGCCCTCGCGTGGCCCCGACAGAAGCTGCTTGCAAAGGAGGGCCGGTTCACAACGGTCTCGAACAGCCTGAGCTGTGGTCTAAGCAAAGGGAGGTCAGGCACTAACCGAGAACCCCGACGGAGCGGACGCTGCCGCCGCTTTCTAGATGCCCTGTGCCCTCGGGAGCAGATTCCGCCCTCCCTCTGCCCACCCCCCAATCCTGGGATTCAACAGGCTTTCATGGAATTAGTAACTTTGACTTCATTGACCTTAAAAGATGGGGCAAGATTCGGCCTGAGGACGGATGTGCCAATAACCCCATTGAATAGCCCTCCTCAAACACCACATTTCCTAACCCCCCACACACGTAGTCCGGGAGACCCCAAAGTTCCCTAAAAGTCCAGGGGGCGAATCCTCTCTCCAGATTGACAACGTACCCCTTCATTCTCTCTTCCCCCCTCCCAACATTTCTCCCTTCCATTCCGGACGTCCTCATAGGATAGTGGCAGAGGCTCCTCTTCTTAAAGACCCATGGGGGGTGTGACCCGCCAGCTTCAGAGCGCCCCTTCTTTTAGCAACTAGCTTCTCCTCTCTCCCCGTCCAAGCCTGCGGGGATCTCAAGGTAAACGCGAGTCCCTCCTGGTTGGGATGGAGGAGCCGACGCCTGGCGAAGGCTGAGCTGTCCTGGGGCTACATTCCTACAAGAAGGCAAGGGAACGAGACGGGGCGGAGGGCGGGTGGGGGCTCGACCGACCCCCTTGCGGAAAATACTCCGGATCTCAGGAGGGGCAGGCGGGGGCACCTTACCTCGCTGCCCGTCTCCTCTTGCAGTAAGTCAACTTCTAATTTTTTTAAAAAGGGGGGGGAGTTAAGGAAAGCACTAGGTGATTCCGATTAGCCCCCCTTTCTTGCGCCCCTTGCCGTGGGGCCTTCATCAAGCAGTACGGGGAAGGCAAGTGGGAGAGAAAAGGAGGGAGGGGCAGGTGGGGGCTTCATTACACGACGGAACCCGTAGCTGGGACCCAGCCTCCTCGGAAAAGCCCAGGTATCTGTCGAAACATGACCTATTTAAATCTATTAAGAATTTCACCCAACCTGTCTTGATCCCTTTTTAAGTGCTTTCCAGCCCCGCTTCCTTCCATGCAATCGGGGACATAATTCATTAGCTAAGGTGATTCATCTCCGCATTGTCACACTTGCCTGACCTCCAAAAATCAAGCCCCGGCTAACCCTTTCCTTGCCTCTTCCTTCCTTTCCTTGTTCTCTCCATGGCCCTTGCCTCACCCACTCCCTGCCCCACGGATGGTGCTCCCAGCCATTTTTGGAGTGACCCAGATCCCCTCCACCCTCAAAGCCAGTTTAGGGGGGGGCAACACTCTTACAGGACAGATGGGCCTTTAACTGAGGACTTTTAGAAAGGAAGGGAAGGTCCCCGACTCACCTCCAATTTGTCCAGAGAAATCCAGGGCCACTGTGGAGCCAGAAGATCCTGGACAGATACTTGGTTTTTTTGAGGGGTGGAGGGCAGAGATAGTGAGCTCTTCAAGGGCAACTAACTCCCCTGAGAGGGGTCTTCATGGGTCCAGATTTGTCCCTGCTCTTGCCCCTCAGAGGGCTGGTTCCCACAGATGTGCTCCTGAAGATGCATCCTTTGGAGACTAGCAGCTGACAAAGTGGACTAAGGAGACTCCATTAAAAAGAATGTTAGCTCCTCTGAAATCTCTCCTTTCTTAACCACATATGGAGATTATAACCTAAGGCTGCATTGTGATAATATGCTAAAATGTCTAACCTTCTCTGGACTGTTCATAATCCTTAAGAACTATAGCTAAGATCATCCACATGCTGCACCTTTTTGCATTCCCATTATATTTCATGTCCCCCCTCAATTATTGTGGTTTCATTCTGCAGAGGGTACACCCCATGTGCTGGAAAAAGTGGGCTGCAGTTCATGGGTGCTTAGGCCAAACGAAACCTATTGGTCTTTAAGTCCGACAAGATTCCTTGTTCTACCCAATGCTGCCATTATCAAAGTGGCAGCTGAGTGAGGGGTGGTAGTCGAGTTGATGCAGTACATTATTTGCTATGCTTAGGCAAGTTCAGATGAAATAAACAAACAAACAAAAAACAGGAGCATCAGCACATGAGAGAAAGCCTTTGCTAGTAGCACATATGCTGATACCAGTTGCATCATGTTGACAAAAACAAAACAACCACAGGTTTGCTTCCTAGGTTAGTGGTATTGTACGGAGGCACATTGAGAACCTCTGTTTTAGTTCAATGGGGAGGCTACAACAGAGTTCAATAATATTACCGTTTTTGGACTACAACTCCCAGAATCTCGCAGCTACATAGCAACATTTCCATACTCTGGTCTGTAGAAGGGAATCTGAGCAGAGTGACAACCTGACCCTTTCAGCCAGGAAATTACTGTACAGTTCTGGACAAGTTTTCGGCCTATCTGAACGGCGTGAATCAAGATGAACAGTATGTTGGAACACCATATGTGTTGATTGGCTTCCTTAGTACCAGGATGGTTTGCATTACTGGCAACAACAGCATAGAGAGAGGGCAGTACATGTATTAATCATGGAATTGTTTCTGTTGGTATTCTCTGGAAGTTGAGTCATGGGAACTGGACTTCTTTCTTATTAGGTTGAAAGGTTTTGCTGCTCATCCAAGTAGCTACTTCAGTCTGAGGAGAGTTGGTAGGAGACCCCTGGTATATCCTCCATGTTGGTTCCACTTCCCCTTGGTCTGAATAGGCTAGTTATATGGAGAAAGGATGGGGGGGGGTGTAAGTGAAAATCCCACTTCTCAAATCCTGTCCTTTGTCCATCTAACAAACCTATTCAGACCAATATGAAGGGGTCTCCTTCCAGAAAAACTGCCCTGGATGACTGAGAATCTTCACAGATACATGGGTATTCTCTGTGTTTAGTTTTCCTCTGATCTCATTGTCTCACCACCCCTTCCTCAAATGAAGCCAGCTGTACCTGCTGTTCTAGATAACATTTCAAGTATCTGATGAAGTAAGCTGCAGTCTACAAAACCTTATGTTATAATAACCAATCTTTAAAATATGCTACTGGATTCTTTCTTGATTTTGCTCCAGTTAACTAACATTACTACCCCTCTGGACATAAATCTACCCAAGAGTCTTCTCAGGTCTGTAGGCACATGCAGGCAGTACAGATTCAGAAAGTAATCCTTCATACGTGGCACACAGGGATGAAAATCCCCCCCTGAATCTGATCTTAAATCCTGCCCAGCATCAGCTGAAAACATTGGGTTCCCCTAAGTGGATCAGCAGGTGGTACCCCTCCCCCAAGTACTCTGCTTAGGGAAAATAAAATTATTTTGGCACTGGTGGTAGAAATCCAACTCCAGAATTACCTTCTTCTGAAGGTACACCTTCCTGCGTTTGTTGTAGCAAAAGAAACTTGGGTCTTTAAATAATGGCAATTCACAGCTGTTTTGCCATCACATGGGAAGTCAACACGCTTAGATCAATTTCCAATGGAAGGAGGGGTGTCTTAAAGTAATCCATCCTCTAGAGCAGTGGTTCCCAACCTTGGAAAGACTGCAGTTACCAGAAACTCTGGCCAGCTCAGCTAGTGGTGAAGGTTTCTGGAAACTGCAGTCCAAGAACACCTGGGTTACCCGAGGTTGGGAACCACTGATCTAGAGGATTAAGGAACACATTCCTGCTTTTGGAATATACTAAGCACTGTGGCTATTGAAAAAGCCAGTAATATTACTTGGCTTTTGATCCTTTGGTTTACTGTAATGGACATCTTAAACAAAGATACTGTATTCTTTCTTTTTGGTTCTTGCCCTACTTGATGCCAGGTTAACCTCAGGAGCAACCTCTTCTGGTTGAAGTGCTTGCCTTTATGTGTGTGCACATGACTGGACATAATACATAATAATTGTATGCCATCAAGCCATTTCTGACTTATGGCAATCCTTTTCAGGGTTTCCAGGTAGAAAATACTCAAAATTGGTCTATCATTCCCTTCTTCTGAGAGCATCATCAGACTGTGCAGCTTGCCCAAGACTACACAGGCTGGCTCTGTTCCCTAAAGGCACAGTGAGGAATTGAACTCACAGCCTCCAGCTCTGTAGCCAGATATATAAACAACCGAGTTATCTAGACCAGTGGTTCTTAACCTTTGTTGGGACTGTGCAGCTTGCCCAGGGCTACACAGTTTGAATCTACTCTCAGGAGGCACAGTGAGGAATTGAACTCACAGCCTCCAGCTCTGCAGCCAGATATATAAACAACTGAGTTATCTAGACAGCACCAATGGAAATAGGCTGGTTCTATGGGCAGCTGAAATTAGGTTAAGAACCAGTGATCTAGACAGCAACAATGGAAATAGGCTGGCTCTATGGGTAGCTGAAATCAGTTCAATGCCTATGGCAGTAAGAGCCAAAAAAGGCACCCATTTAAACAACATGGGTATGATCTGCCCAGATGTTCTATGCAAGCCTCATCCTAGGGAAGAGAAGCTATATCACATCCTCGGGATAAAGGACATTCCATGCACAAAAAGCAACATGACCGCCAATGGAATCTGGTTTTTGACACAGGTGATGGAGCATCACCCCCTACCATGTATTAGAAAGCAGGCTAGCTCATCAAGCAGAGGCTGGGCTACATTGCCTTCTAGCAAAACTTGGTGGGTGGCCAAGATGATACCACTGCTGCCATCAAATATCTGCTGCCTGAGATAGTCTTATCAGTTTACCTAAAGGTGAGGATGACTTAAAGGCAGGAATGTGTCACTATAGCCTTACTCAACTCCTCTTCATTTCAGTGAGTCTCATGTGGGGAGAACCTCTCAGTGGAATGTGCCTCATGTGCAAGGCCAGCCCTACCA